TTCAAGGCTTCCAACCTTATCATTCCACCAAAAGTGCTTTCTCCAACTTACCAGCGACATCTTAATTGCCAAATCCAGTAGCTTTTTCTCAATCCTTATTCTCCTTAACCCTTCTGCAGCCTTTGACATGGTTAATTATCATCTTCTCCTTGACACTCTCTCTAGGTTTTTTGGGCACCATTCTCTCCTGGTTCTGTCCATCAGTCCCTCCCATTCTAAAGTTCCAACCAAATGACACATTTCTTCCACCGTGCCCTTTAGAATGCCTGTTTCATAAACAACAAACTTCCCTTTATCCTAAATTTTTTTTTCCCCTTTCCTGTTCCTTTCCTCTTCTAGCTGTTACTGAACCTGGCTTCTTCTCAGTCTCCTCTGTCAGATACTCATCCAGACCAAGCACTCTAACCATAGATGTCATTCAGGGTTCTCTCTTGGGCCCTCTTCTCTTCTGCCTGTGATCTCATCAGCTCCTCTCCAGCTGCCTTTCAGACATCTCAAACTGCATGTCCAGTGGACATCTTTAACTCAACATGTCCAAAACAGAATTCATTATCTTTACCCCTGGACCTCCCCCTTTCTGACTTCCTTATTACTATCAAGGGCAACCCTATCCTCCCAGTCCCTCAGACTTGCAACCTAGTTGTAATCCTTTATTCTTCACTGTCTCTTACAGCCCCCTGCCTATGTCAGTCTGTCACCAGGGCCTGTTGATTTCACCTCTGCAACATCTCTTATATGTTCCTTTCTCTCCTCTGACACTGCTACCACTCTAGTGCAGGTCCTCACCATCTCATGCCCAGACTATTGCAGTAGCCTGCTAGTTGGTCTGCTGTCCCAAATCTCTTCTCACCCTAATCCTTCCTCCATTCAGCCACTAAAGTGTTTTCCCTAAAATGCAGGTCCAACCATGTCTTTCCCTGATCTTAGAACTTGGTTAGACATTGAAGACACCAAGACCATCCACTATGTCCCAGGACGTCACCAGTCATCCTGACTTTTGTCTTGCCACTGGACTTCAGTGTCTCTGGAAGAGAGACTGAGGCTGATGACTTTGTGAAGCTTTGCCTCACTTAAATCCAATTCACGCACAAGTCCTAACATATTTTTTGATGTCATTGGTCCTTCTAGGAAATGAAGGACAAACAGCAAGAAGTGGCTCTCTGTGGCCTACAGGATCAAATAAAAAATCCTCTGTTTGGTGTTGAAAATCTGTCATAATCTAGCCCCCTCCTAACTTTTCAGTTTTATATCTTATTCCTCAACACATACTCTTTGATCTAGTGACACTGGCCTCTTGACTCTTCCACGTTCAAGACAGTCCATCTCTCTTCTCTGGGCATTCTCTTTTGCTGTCCCCCCTGTGCCTGGAATGCCCTCCCTCCTAATCTCTGCCTACTGACCTCCCTGGCTTCCTTTAAGTCTCAACTAAAATCCCATCTTTTACAGGAAGATTTCCCCATCCCTTCAATTCTAGTGCTTTCTCTCTTACTTTTTCCCCCTATTTATCCTATATACAGCTTATTTGTACATGTTTATTTGCATTCTCTCTTCCCCATTAGATTGTGAGCTCCTTGAGGGCAGGGGCTAACTTTTGCATCTTTTTCTATCCCCAGTTTAATGACTGACTTACCTCTACCATTAATACCTTTCACAATTAGGCAACTCATTTCACCTTTCTTAGTCAGTTTTCTCGTCTTTTTGAATATCTTTGTTTAAGGGGCTAGATGTTCACTGAGGCAAAGTCCCTTCCAGCTCTCCATTTATGATCTCAAGAACTAGAGTTTTACTTCAAAGGTTTGTTCAAGCAAATAATGCTTGAGTCTAATTCCTCCTAATGTGTCATCTCTTTGTTGATTGTTTCCTTTATCTTGTATATTTTTTGTATGTAGTTGTTTCCATGTTTCCTGATAATGCTTGTAGTACATAGTTCGTGGATTTGTTTTAAGGAAAGTGCTTTATAAACTGTAAAATGTAGTTTAAATGCATTATTTTTGTTGTTTCCAATAAAGTAACTAAACCAATCCTTACGTGTTTGGAAGCGCCCCGCCCCCTTTTAAACTGGTCTTGCGACTGATGCAATTTGGCAGTCTACTGAAGAAGAATTCTAAATTGAGGCAATCTGGAATCAGGTTTCATTATTTTAAATGTTGCCTGTTTGAGGGGTGATGTCAGAGTAAGACTCGAATGCATATAGGATGTACTCATATCTTTCTTTCCCTTGGATTGCATTTGCTTCCATTTGGATCCATGCTTCAGAAATAGTTGGCTTTCCACCAACTTTTTCCTTTGTTCATTTATAGTTTGTCTTCCTGGGAGTCCACCTCGTATAGTGGAAAGAATAATTGGTTTATAGTTAGAAGAAGTGTGATTTGAATCCGGGCTCTGCTGTGTGATCTTAGGCAGGTCATTTCTTCTCTCTGAGTCCCAAGCTCCTTCATGTATGAAACAAGGGGATTTCAATTAGATATTTTGTAGGCTCCATTCCAGCTCTAAATTTTATGATTTTCTCAGCTTACAAAGTCACAGGATTTGAGAGTTAGAGGGAACCTCAGCAAACATTTAGTTCAACCCATATCCATAAGTAATTTCTTTTGTGACATAGCCTGACAGATGAGTATCCAATCTCTGCTTGAAGATTTCTAGTGAGGGGAATTCTATTACTTCAAAGCAACTGCTACTATTTCTCATAATTTATATCTAATTTATTATTGTTTAAATCATAATTAATTCAGGTGTGTCTTTTTTTTTTAAATCAAGCTTCAGTTTCCTTCTTTATGATGTCTATCCATTGTTCCTAGTTGTGCCTTTTGGCATCAAACAGAACAAATCTAATTCCCCATTCACATAAATAACCCTTCAGATACTTGAAGGTATCTGTCATCTCTCCCCCCTTGGTTTTCTATTCTTCACCAGCTATGCCTAGTTCCTTCACTTGATCCTCATATGTCATGGACTCAAAGAGTCCTTGCCATCCTGGTTTCCCTCCTATAGACATTATCCGACTTAGTGTCGTTCCTCAATTGTGTCCATTAGTCATCTAGCTTTTATTAAACATCTACTGTGTTCCAGGCATTGTGGTAAGTGCTGAGATACCCAGAGTAAACACTGCAGATTCTCCAGATTACAGACTATCATCTCCTTCTTGGGAGCTTTGCCTTTCTGGAGCTAGTGATCATGTTAGCCTTTTTGCCTACCACATCACATGCTGACTTATGTTTAATTTTTAGTCCACTAAAACCCCTAGATCTTCTTCAGACAGACTGCTGTTTAAACATTCCTTCCTCCTATCTTGGATTTGTAAAGTTGATTTTTTTTTTAAATCCACCTGTAAAGACTTTACATTTGTTCCTATGGAATCTCATCTTACTCAATTCAGGCTCAGCATTCAGTTCAATTCAATAAACATTTATTAAGTGCCGGTGCTAATTAAGCATTAGGGATACGAATAAAAAAAATTAGAGACAGCCCTCAAGAAACTTGCAATCTAAGTGGGGAAGACAGCACACAGAAGAAAGCTGGAGTGCAGAGGATTACTGAAGGACAATGAAGGTTCCCTAGCATGGGAGTATCTTTTTTACATGGAATTGAGACCAAGCAGAGCCAAAGATGGAAAATTCAAATATGTTAGCTATGTCTCACAGCTTTGTGTCATCTATAATTTTGATGTACATACCAACTATATCTTTATCTAAGTAATACATAAAGAAGTGAGCAGAACCTGGACAAGAATTTATGCTGTAATAGAAACAGTGTTAAAACAAATAACTTCGAAAGAATCAGTTGTGTTGATCAGCACAATGCTCAACCGTGATTCCAAAAGGTCTGATGATAATGCATGCTACCTACTTCCTGACGGAGAGATGATAGATTAATTGTACAAAAGGAGACACCATTTTGGACATGGCCAAATCAAGAATTAAATAAGTATATTTGTTATAAGGGTTTATTTGTTTGTTTTTAATGTTGAGGTATAAGGTGAAATAGAGAGAAAGCAAATACTTGTTAATTGGGAAAAAAAATTAACTAAATATTACCATGCACTTTATATTTGTGTGTGTGTGTGTATGTGTGTGTGCTCATAGTGTATATTGTTTTCTTGGCTCTGCTCACTTTTCTTTATATTAGATCATATAAATAACACTTATTATAGAATTATGTAAGTGAATAGATTCGTATTTTCATGTCCTGTGCAGTTCTTGGTCGTGTGTTTAAATAAGACCTCCATTGAGGAGCCACTCTTTGTGGGTCTTCTAAGATTTCAGGGGTGGGAGGGAATACTACATACCAGTAAAAATAGGACTTTTTACACAGGGAATAGAATTTCTCACAAGTCATTTATTTTTAACCCTTCCCAGAGGAAAATAAAATCATACTCATGAATATTATTTTCAAACTATCCCCCCTTCCATTAATTAAAAACAAAACACAAATCCTAAAGCATTATCAGTACAGAAATGACAAAGTATTTTCTATTCTATTAGATAATTTTGAATGTTTTTGCATTGGGCATACCACACATGAGGGCAGGATTCCATTTATTCCATTTTTATTTCAGATAATTTTGCATTTCCCAAATTCAACTAGAAGTAGGCTAAGAAAAAAGATGTGCAAGGATGGCATTTTGAGAAATTTAAGTGATATTAGTGATTTTTTAAAATTGTTAGGTCTAAAATTTTAGAGCCTAGTTTTTGTTTTCAGAAAGTAGGGAAATATTTTGTCTTTTAGCCAGAGGAGTTCAGCCTTGTTTGGTCTTCTAATAGATAATTTGCTGCTGGCTTTTATATATGTGGGAAAGAATGCATCTCTACCCCCCAAGGATCTTGATTCTTGGTTTCTTAGCATTTAAGATCATTGATCTGTTTTTTTTTTGGGGGGGGGGAAGGCAGGACTAGAGGCAAAGAGGAAATTTTGTCATCTGTAAGTTCTCATTGTTGTCATTCTGTTTGGCTGAACTTTTAAACCTACATCTGGTGCTCATTGGCTTGTCTTCTGTGTTGCAGAAATATTGCTGAGGCTCTTGTCAGCAAAGGACTGGCAACAGTGATCCGCTATAGGCAGGATGATGACCAGAGGTCTTCCCACTATGATGAACTGCTTGCTGCCGAGGCCAGGTAAGATGGAGTAATTTTTTTTCCCACCAAAATTTAGGAATGTGAAGCCACTCTTATTTCGATCCTACATAAAACAAATCATATTTTAAAAACAATGTAAGTTCTTGATATGATTAATACTATTATTTACCACTGGGCTCTACTTATACATACATACACATACATACATGAATATGCGTGTGCGCACACACACACACACACACACACACACACTACATTTTATCTTCTTTACCAACCAGAAGCTGCTAATCCTCAATGCTTATTTTTCACCTATAAACCTTGTGTCATGTCTAGAGGAAATGAAAACATTTAAGAAATGAGTTTTGTCTTCACACTTCTGACAGCTGGCAGGAGAGTGTTTAAGAAAGCCTGTGACATTTCACCAGTGCACTTTTTCCTGTGGCTAAGCACCCCAAGGGTATTCAGATGATATGGTACCATTTCCTGGAATTGACAGACCTTAAGAACCATTCCCAAGGAGATTCATGTCACTTGATCCCAGTAGCAATTGAGTTCATGCTTCTAATAAGTGAGGTACTTTGGGGAACCACCTTGAACAATACAACAAAATGCTTGGCTCCATCCAAAATTTAACATTTTTGGTGCAAGTTATTGGTAAGACCTGTCAGAGATAGAAAAGCTACTGTCCTTCACTTAATATAACAGACAGTTCAGATGACATAAGGTCTGTTTAATTGTTAGAGGGATGTTCTTGTCCAAATAAGTCATAAAGAGGAGAAATAAACCTGGGCATGTGATATCCAAACTAGATTTAAGACTTTGCAATTGGCAGTGTTTTTCTTGCTTTTAGGCCCAGAAGGTTATTCTGGGCTTTGACATTTTCTTCTAAGGCCATGCCACGTATTGATAAATAGATTATCTCTGGGTTGTCACGAAAAATGTCAGCCAAGCAGTCGGTCTGTCAGGAATCTCTGTTGTTTTTGGACTTTGTCTAGTGGACTTTTCCCAGAGGAGTGGTAAGAGTCTGATTCTTGGGTGGACACAAGGGAATAGGAAATCATCATTTTGTTTATTCAACATTTACCAGTGCCATTAATGAACACTGTGTGAAAGGCAGCCCAAGTTTTCTTCCTTTTGGATATTGGGTGGGATTGTGTGTTCTCAATTTGTAGAGAAAAAGAGATAATGGTATTGGATCCATGTATATCTCATTTGTTCTGATTAGCAGAAAAATGATTGTAAGCTATTATGAGTGTGAAAGATACCAAGAGAGGATTAGAGATCATTATAGGAGTATGCCCAGTATACTGGTGAACTTTTGAAAGAATTTATAAGTCACTTTTGAAAAAAAAAAAAAAGAATAATTTAAGAGTTAGGAAAATTGGAAGCATGGTGATAATTTTCAGGACTCCACCAAAGATTGAGGATGAATAATCTTTTCATATTGCTTTTAGAAGTAGTTATGTTATACTATTATGTTTAACAAATATGCACAGGCATTGCAGATTTTAAATTTTATTTTAATAAAGAAGATTTTTGATGTTTGTTCACTGAAGCTCAACTCCTTGGAAATAGTTGTGTTGCTTCATTTAGACAGACTGATGATGGAGAAACCTGCTTCAGAGTTATTGTCTTGAGTCCAGGTTGCACTAAATGAGGATACTTTAGTCTTTCTTACTTGACAGGCAATGAGGTTCTCAAAATGAGTAGGCCCAGCCATTGTGTGTTACAAAAGTTTTTCTTCTGGAGTATTGTGTCAGTAAAACACATGAAGTGATGATTCTCAAACCCCAAAAGTGTGAAGCTAATAGAACATTGAAGTTTTATAAACTAGGAAAGACAGGGACAATTGGCCAGACCAAATTCTATGTGATAATGTGTTAAAATGGGATCGTGCAGATGCATGGTGTGGTGTAATATAAAATACCACTGAGCTAGAAATTAGCAGACTGCCACCAACTGACTGTATGGTCTTAGATAAATTGCTTAACTTCTTTAGTACTCAGTTTTTTCATCTCACAAATGACAGGATTGAGCCAAATAGGTTTCCACCATACCATTTACTCCTGAGAGTCTAGGAAAGAAAAATCAGTATCCCTCTCAATACCAATCACTTCCTATCTCCCTAGTCTTGGCATTTTAGTTTTAGGCACCCCTACCCCTACCGCCATGCTATCTCCCACTCTGACCTTTATTATTCTTCTTAGTGCCACGTCCCAGTGCATGTCTCACTAAGTGTCACATCACTTCATTTATTTTTTTTTTTAGTTGATTCTACTGCCCCATGCTTCGTTTGGGATTATTTTTCCTGAGTTGTCTTAGCTACGTTCTCTGAATTGAACTTTTACCTTCTAATTTTTTGCCTTCATCTCTGAGGCCTTAGCACCTCCCTGCTTAGTGTCCTCTGAAGATCTCATTAGTGAGTTGTTTACTTCTTTTCTTAGGCCTTGAATAGAGCCCCTAAACGGGAACAGGTTTGGATCAGACCCTATAGCTTCCTGATGCATGGTCTGTCACTTAACTAACTGCCTCTCTTTCACCCTTTAAAAATCTTTATTGATTATGTTCTGATCCAAGGCAATTTGAATTAATTTACCAAGAAAAATTTCATGAGGTGCTGTAACCAGTTATTAGCAAGGCCAAATTAATGACATCTACTATATTGCTATCAAGCATTCTTTCAGAAACTCTTTGGGAAAATAATCGAGAGGTTTCAGGGAAAGGTCTTCATTTATATTCCCTAGGCCTCAGAGCTGTGACAGTTCATTACTAAAGATAGCTTTGACCTCCCTCCTTGCTTAGTGGTCTTCTTCCATGCTTACCCTTGATTATGCCAGTGATTATGCACTATGCTTCTCTGTAGACTACTTTCCAGAATACTTTGTGTCCATTAATTCTTTTAGAAGAACATGGTAAACTCGGGTAAAGAGCAACCAGTTAACTTGTCTCTCTGTTTGGGTCAGTGCAGCTGGCTCCACAGTAAGCATGGGAGTCGATGTGCTTCCTAGGGGTTTGGGGGTTGTTGTTTTCTCCGGCCTGATCTGCCAACTCTTCCTGTCTTACACTGATGGGAGCTCAGGGAGAGATGAGCAGTGAGCACTTTGGGAGATGACAGAAAGAAGAATATTACTGCCAATTTACAGCTGGCTCAATGTTTTTAAGTGCACACACCTGCATGCTGGAAACTAGCACGTGCTCATTTCTACCTGTAGACCTTTTTTAGAACCCTTCTTTATTCAAGTGCTTTGCAGTTTTTTGGAAACCTTCACTAAACCTGCACTGCAGTTTGCCTAAAGCCATCTCTCTCCTTATTTAAAAGACAAACAAAACACAAAATTCCCAAATGATGGCCTTCCTTTTTTGGCTCACTTGTCTTTTGCCAGCTGCCTCTTCCCCCACTGCCTCATGTCCCGCCAAGATAAGGTTTTGCCATTTGCATGGACTCTTGGGTCTTTTTTCTCACATAGGCTCTGTTGAAAAGCCTTCCCACTTAACAACCTTCCTTTTGGAAGGGGAGGAGGGAAGACAGATGCCTGGTAGAGCTGAACCATACTTTTGCCAACAGTTCTCCTGAACTGTATGTCTCTATAAAACCTAAGAAAATGACCCCTATCTCCCATGTTAAGTTTTTCTATACATTTCCATCTACTATTTTGCTTTTCCATTATAGAGATCACATAGGATTTATTCTTGATTTTTTTTCTGCGTGCCTATTCTAGTTTTATGTTCTCAGACATTGCCAATCCTCCTAAAAAAGGAATTTTTAAGATTTTTTTTTTTTTTGGTGACAGAAACCCCTTTGGCAGTCTAATGAAACCTATGGACCCCTTCTCAGAATATTGTTTTTAAATGCATAAAAGAGGACACATAAGTTTACAAAAAGAAACCAATTACCATGGAATTCAGTTAGCAAAATATTTTGAAAATTCATTCACTCCTTGAAATCTGTTCATGAACCCCTGAGAGAAATGGGGAGTGGATCCTGTTACATGTACTAGAAACAAGCTTAAGAAACAGATTAAGAATCAGTCAGGGAATAAAATTTAGTACCCTTCTGGCTAACAGAATCAATATTAGAACCCTTCTTCCTTAGCCTTTCCAGACAGATAGCACATGCACACACACACACACACCACACTTGCCCTTCTCTTTCATTTCTCTACTCCATTCAATGTCTTTGTATTTCTTGTGCTCTGTTCAGTTTGCATTCTCTTCCTATAGATCTATGCTGTAATTTCTAGTATAATACATGTTACTTATGATCATCAGATTTAGCATGTGATAGGATGTCAATTATTTGGACACATTTCCTGTTTGTTTTGCTTTAAGCACCTCATGTGGAAGTTCTATTCCATTGTCAGTATGGTTTTCAATTCAATTAAAATCTGGCTAGATGTTTGCCTTTTTTTAAAGTAAGAAGGAACAATGGATTCTGCCTTTACATTTCTGAAGCTCCCAGTGGGTGAATTTTTTTTTTTAAAAAAGTAAAATTATTAGACCACTTCATGAGCTTTCCAGAAACCATTTCTCATTACAGAGAAATTGGCGTAAGGTTGATGGCAGTTAAGAAATGGAGCTTCTTCTAAGGACTCTTCCAACTCTAGATCCTGTAATTTTAGGATAAGAATATATGTTTGTATATTGCAGGATAAAAAGGTATCTTTTTATAATCCTGTGTCTGAGCCGATTTAAATACATTCTGGACATTTTATAAATCTATTAGCAGTATCTCGGGAAAAGAAGGTAGAGGGTTATAACCCCTTCATATTTTCCACTACAGTCTGTTCGTTGCCCAGCATGCTACATAGAGTAGCAGACACAGAAGTCTGTAGTTACATTGTCTACCATTGGGGGAGGCACACATAAGCCTGCCCAAATTTCAGCCTCCATTTGGCTCTTTTCTCCCCACGCCTGCTGGGAAGATTCTGTCTGCCTAAGGAGACATTTCTTCAGCCTCGTCCTTCAAAAGTAGAAAACTTGGTATTCTGCCATCCTGATACTCACACCCCAGTTTTTAATCACTAAAAGCCCCAGTCCTG